CAACTATGTCTTTTACATCTCAGCATCTCCAGGGCACCTGTTCTCACATATAATAGAAGCTCTATAAAGGTGTGTTAAATTAACAAACGTGATAGCGTAGGAGACGGATATATATGCATTTATGTACATGTGTGAAACACATGATCCAGTTCAGGGTTTATAGTTTGTGGATTGCAATGCCCTTGCTATCAGATGTTTCAGGAAGGTAGGCAGCTAAGCTACTTCAGTTGGGAAGGAGGTGCAAGAAAAAAGGAATCATCCAAGAAATACTTAAGGGGCACTCTGTGAGCTTCCAGGAAGAAACTTGGCTCTAGGTTATAAAGACCACAGCTCTATCTATAAAGAGCTCACAGAGCCATGGGCGCCGAACAGGTAAGGATCTCACCCCCACCAGTGAGCAGAGATGTTAAAGTTAAAGCCAGATTAAGCCATGTGACTCCCAGTTCTAAACTGCAGGGCTCTTTCCACTAGAACAGTGCCTTTCAAATGCTGAGTGGGCTTAGAGTAAAAAATACATTCTGTAGCACTCCCCAGTACAGATACACACGTTTCTGATCTTTTTATTTTCATTCTATTCTATTTCATTTTTTTAAAATGTTCAGCTTGACACACTAAATTGGCTTTTGACTCAAAGGTGGAAAAACACTGCTCTAGGAAATATATTTTTAATCTCTGGAGTTTTGACGTCAGATAGAATTCCTAATAGAATGAATGTATATCTCAGCAAAAAAGGCAAAACACGATCAAATAATCAAATAACCCACACGGACTAATGAAGTCATGCCAGCTGTCACTTAGGGGAAGGGGGTAGGGGGGAAGCTAAACCTAATCTCCATCCGCTTTCCCTAAAGCCACCAATACCCAATCTGAGGGAAAGAGTGTTTGCTGGGCAGGAACAAGCTTGTGGCAAGCCTCCTGACACCCCAGCTCCCTTCCAACCAGACCATGACCCAAAAGACTCTTATTCTATATAAAAATTCTGGAGCTTCCACTTACAATGAATATTTTTTTAAATGATTTTGTATAAGAGACTTTAATAAAGGTGTTTGGATGAGGAACAATGAATTTATTAGAATAAGTGAATGAAGAGTGCCTGGGTGGCTCAGTTGGGCTCTTGATCTTGGCTCAGGTCATGATCTCATAGTTCATGAGATCGAGCCCTTTGCACTCTGCACTGACAGTGTGGAGCCTGCTTAGGATTCTTTCTCTCCCTCTCTCTCTGTCCCTCTCCCTCTTTCTCGCTCTCTCTCAAAAATAAGTAAGCATTGAAAATAAATAAAGTTAACAAAAATCAAAATAAACTATTTTAAACACATTTTATGTAAAAAAAATTCTGAAAATTGCCATACTTCACTTAAATTGGGGGGAGGGAAGTGTAATGATTGATCCCAGATCTGCATAAAATATTCAGAAATGGATCCTTAGTTAAGCTAGTACCTCTTCTGGTTTGCTCTCAAAATATGAAGGCAAAGTCAGTATACAACTCTTCTTCAAATTGAGATGTTTGTACAGCACATCCCATGAAAGGAAATGTGGTAACAACAATCATCACTACCTAGTAGCAAGCTAGGGATGAACGAACTCCAATGTCCTTAGTTTTCTTTCAAGAAATGTGTTCCCCTGGGGGTGCCTAGATGGTTGTCAGTTGAGCATCTGACTCTTAATTTCTGCTCAGGTCATGATCTCACAGTTCATGAGTTTAAGTCCTACATCAGGCTTCCCACTGACAGCGTGGAACCTGCTTGGGATTCTCTCTCTCCATCTCTCTCTGACCCTCCCCCATTCTCTATCTCTCTCAAAAATAAATAAATAAACTTAGGAAAAAAAAAAAAAAAGAAGTGTGTTCCCCTGAAAAGTCACAAACAGGCGGAAAGACCAGAAAAATCCCTTTATGTTCTGTGTCCCCAGGCAATACTACAGCTCTAAAAACACAAACTAAGAATGTTCATTCAAAAAAAAAAAAAAAAAAGAATGTTCAAGTTCTTGGACTGACTGGCCTTACCATTCACAATCCAAGAAGCAAGTCTGAGTTTAAAGCAGTCATTTTTGTGACATTTGCCTCAAATTAAAAGACTATTTTAGGGCACTTGGGTGGCTCAGTAGACTGAGCCTCTGAATCTTGGTTTCAGCTCAGGTCAAGATCTCAGCATCGTGAGATCAAGCTCCAAGCCCCACATCAGGCTCCACTCTGGGTGGGGAGCCTGCCTGAGATTCTTTAAAAAAAAAAAAAAAAAAGTAATAATTTAAAAAATTAAAATTAAAACACAATTTTATAAGACTTTAATAAATCCTCCTGTCATCTCAAAATAAATCTGTTTAGAACTATACTTAGAAAAATATTCTTTTTATGAAGGTAAAATACATTTTTCCTAAGAAAAAGGAGAAAGCCATACTTACTATTTATCAGATCTGTCCAATGGAACTTTCTCTAGGGATGGAAGTGTTCTGTGTCTGTGCTCTCTAATACAGTAGCCACTAGCCGCCTAATACAGAGCACTTGAAAGGTGGCTGGTGTGACTGAGAAAGTGTATTTTAAGTTTTCTTTCATTTTAATTAACTCAAATTTAAATAGCTGCATTCGGCCAAGTACCTACCATCTGGGGTAGTGTAGGTTAGATAATCAACAAAGGCTGCAGAGCTGGCTAACTGGCTTTTCTTATACTCAATGTCACAATTTGAAAAAATGATATTATATACCAATATTCAATTTCCAGCTTCCCAATTAACATTTCATTAATTATTATTTAACTTGTCCCCAGGAGTGTTTTTCAACAAAGTTTGGCGATTTCTATTTCGAAACATGAACATCTTAGATCTGCTGAGCAGAATCCCTTTGGCAGTGTTCAATTTTCCATCTGTGAAACTCAAGCACAGGGAAAGGACAAAACTGAATCCCACCTTCCTCTAGATACAAAGGGAAGAAATGGAATGCATAATCCAGACAAAGGCTAATGTAACCTTCTAGGCTCTTTCATGGGTGCATCAACCCTGCTTGTGTTGCTTTAGACCCAGCTATGGCTTTCCACAAAAGTCATTTCTCCATGAAATGTGTTCCCTTATGATCAAACCCTCTCAAAGCATTCTACCTATTGGAAAACCATTTAAAATATGAACACTAAAATATTCTATATTTAAATGGTTAGAATGCAGTAGCCTGAAGAGAACAGATGCTTCAGAGAGACTAAAATATGCAGATCACGCCAGGACCACTTTCCAAGCAGGTGGCAAAAGAAACTACGCAGTTCCACAGTCAGCTAGGGAGACTCTGCAAGAAAATGTGCTCAGAAATGCATTGTGGCCATGCTGTGGCCAAACGTTAACTCGCTTTAACTTCAAGCAGCATCACTGCACTCACTACAATCTCAAGGTCAATGCCAATTGTTTTTTCAGCTTCTCATCATGCTAACGCTGACACACCAATAAACCACACACACAGAGGCACAAATATTTCACTAATTTCATTGTGTTTAAGTAGAATTTCTAGAACGTTAATCTAAAAATTCTATGAGTTGCCTTAAAACCAGCCAACAAGTATACAATGCAAAGAGCAAAGTCACGAGTACCACATACCATATTTGCAGAAGCTGAAACTACACAGAACAAAGCAATTCTAAGACAGCAGTGTAATTCAGGTGAGAATTCAGCACCGTAGATGAGAACTTCATTTTTCCCCCCTCTACCACTACCAATGCTACCGCAAGGTCCTAAAAAAGGACTAGAAACTCACCTACTGTATCCAAAGAACATGGGATCTCAACAAGACCCGTGTCGTGACAGGGAAGCAATGCACACACTATCCCAGGAGGTTTGGGTCTTGCAGAATAATAAATAGCATTGCCAAAAGGAAAAAAGACTTCATCTGGGGCAACTGAGAGCACTCTGATCTAGCAAGAGTCTGTTAGACTGCATAAAAGCTATGTTATGCGTATGGATAAGATCTGCAGATGAAGCCTGGGCAGGAAAAAGGAGACAGAGAACTTAAAATGGGGAACCGCTATGCTGTTTGACCCTGAGAGTACCCTCTTCCCCTTCTCACTCTTCCAAGCTATGAACTACAGACTCCACTGACCGCAGCATCTGTGGCACGATCTCTAAGGAAGCTATCAATTATAAAATTCTATGATAAGAGCCTCAATGTCTAAGGCAAGTGCTAGAAACCTCAATGCTTCTTTTTCCCCCATCATCCTAATTCTCAGGGAAAAAAGTAAAATAAATATAATAAATGGCAAAGAATTTTCACATCAGAGGCCCAAGTTCTCAAAGCACATAAGGCTTATAGACAGAAAATAAAAATAACCACTACTTCTCATTTAGTTCTTTAAAAGTCCACTTCAGAATAGCATTATTCTTGCTCCCCAAAATGCAATTTAAAGGCAGAAATATAAATCTATGTAAAGACACTCAGAGTATAAATTAGTTTTACATAGATAAAACTTAATTCTTATATTTAATATTCTAATGCAGATGTATGAGATTAAAATACAGATTCTAGTAAACAAAAGAAATATATGTAACAGAAAGAAAGCCATGTTTTGCTTGGCTCAAAATGTTAACACAGTACAATTCTACATTAAATGAAAAAACTTATTAAACTATCTTAGCACAAATATGGCTTAGTCCTTTTTCTAAATTCCTAATGTATTTATGGGCTAAATATGTTATTTCATTTTATAAGCCCTCAAGTCCTATGTAACCCACTCCTATTCCTCTAGGTGAGCTTTGGCAGAGGGTTTGAATCAATGTCAATCACATTAAAAACATACTATTTAAGGAATTTATCAGGATGTAACTATGAAATTACACATCTGAAAACATCATCGTTCCTAAATTGGGATTCTGAAAAAAACTCAGTAGAATTGTTTTCTTTTTTCTTTTCAACAGCCAGAGCATCAAAGCATCTTCAACCCCAAGTGTAATATATATTTAATCATGGCTCCTGACTTAGGCATAACATTTCAAATTGTTTCATACGCGTTAAACAAAAGTGCTCACACTCTTACCTGTATATCCAGCATACCATCCCCAAGAAGCCACCATTCCTAAAAGCCATTTATACATGATTCCTTCAATATACCAGAACCGCTTACTGTCCAGCAGTCGAAGGGGCTGAAGTACAATTACATAGCACACGTAGGATAAAAGAGCAACCAGGTTGTTGGCGACCATGAAGGCAAACCTCAACAGGGCTTTCACCAAGATCCAGCCCAGCCACGGAGCTTCTTCCAAAGTCACAGCCATTCTCACATTGGCGTCCGTCCTGTCTTTCTGGGATGAAAGAAAAATTCATTTAAAAAGGAAAATGGATCACACACATCCAAATAGTCACCAACACAGAAATCGCCTCCAGCACAAAAACACGAGAAAAATCGAGGGTCTAAGCTTTGGCGGTGTAGTACCTCGGTGATCTCTCCGGGAAATTCCAGAGGGGGACAGAGAGCGAGGGAGGAGGAGCCGCACAAGGTCAAGGGAGGTGTTCACGGAGGCACAGGGTATGTCATAATATATTTAGCAAATGATAATACTATTCCCGCTAACTAATCAGTGGCCGTCCCCGCACCGCGCCTCACTGCAGTCTGCTCTGGACTTTCGGGAAGAAAAACAGACCCACTTGCTTCAGACCCCCTCAGTATTTCCAAACTGACGACACGAGTGAAAGGAGGCGGTTGCAGGGACCCGATCCCATTTCCCAGCTAGGAGAAGCTGGGTACCCGAACCACCACCATTCCTGCACATCGATCGTGCCTTAGAAAGGTCTCTCGCCTTAGCAAACAGTTAACGCTAACAATGTTCATTTGCGGCAAAGGGGTTTTTGTTTAATCTTTTATTTAGGCGGAAAAGGAGAAGGGCCTAGAAAAGAGGGCAGGAAGGTGAGAGGAAGAAAGTGGGGGCTAAGACGGCGAAAGAAGGAAGGACGGGAGTAGGGGGAGGGGAGCAAGAGCCAGAAGGAGGTGAAGGCACGGAAGGCACTGATGAGAATGACCGGGGGGCAGGAAAGCCAGGGGTGATGTTAGAGGCGCGGAGGAAGAGGCGACGGCAGCTTTCGGGGTGGGGGGGGCGTGGGGGGCGCCCGCAGCGGTTTCCGCGGCCAGGGTTGGGGTCGCGGCGGGGGCGGCCCGCGCGCCGGGCTCACCTCGGCTGGCGCGGACGGCGGGCGGTGGAGCGCGGGGACAAGCAGGGCCGGGGGCCGGCGGCCCGGGGCGCGGTGCTGCGCGGCGGCGGCGGCGGCGGCGGGTGTCCCCGGCCGAGGGGTCGCAGTCATTTACGCGGCGGCGGCTGAGGCGCGGCGCGAGCGGGCGCCCTATAACCCTCGCGGCTGTCTGCGGACAGAGGGACGGCGGGGACTCAGGGGCCGGACCTGTCACCGGGGCGGGTCCGGGGAGGCGGGCGGATGCCCCGCGCCCCCGCCTCCTCCTCGGGGCCTACCGCGCCCTCGTCCCTCATGCCGCCGCCGCCACCTCCTCCCCGGCCCGCACGACGGACTACACCCCTTGCCCGCCCCCTCCGCACCGTTCCGGGCCCGGCGCCGCCGCAGCCCCGGGCCTGCGTCCGCCGAGCTGCAGGTTACCTCGGGCTGGCCGGGGCCCGGCCCGCGCTTCGGGAGTCAGAGAAGCCGGAAGAATGCATGGCCGGCGGCCGGGCCGGCGGAAGGAGGCGGCGGCGGGGCCCGGCCGCGCTCCGGCTGCGGCGTGGCCCGCGCCCGGTCCCCGGCGACGCTGAAACTCGCTCCCCGGGGCCCGGCCGCGTTCGCCGGGGTGGCGGGGAGGGGCGGCGGGGAGGAAGCGGCGGGAGCCGAGACTCCGGCGCAGCCGCCCCCAGAGCGCCCTCTAATGAAGGCTCGGCGGCCGCTCCCGCGTCCCGGATCCCGCCGGTCCCGAGGTCCAGCCCTTGAGGCTGCCTGGTCCCTAGGCCGGCGGGACCTCTCCGCTCCCAGTTCCCAGGAGGAGGGCGGCTGAGAACGGGCTGGTAAGGAGCCGCTCTCGTCACCACACGAGGAGCGCTGCGGTCCGCACCGAGAGCCCCCTTTCAGGCCCCACGGCCGGTTCTCATTGTTAGGGCTCTCCCGCGTCTGACCAACCCGTGACTGCCCAGACTGGGAAGCTGTCCCCTGGAAGGCTGGATGCCCTCTTTTCTGTCCTAATGAAACCCAATTGCTCTCACGGCTTCTCTTCTGAACCTCCCCAGGGTATTAAGGTCTAGATTTTAAAATCAATTCATCTTAAGGGTCAGAATTCCCGTTTCTGGAGAGCACCCAGCATAGTAATGACAGTTCCAGTCACCCATCCACGTCCCCACTCCCATCTTCCTAAAGAAAAAAAAAGGGGGAATCCAGTGGGAATGAGTGAGTGGTCTACCTAGAGACACTGAAATTTAGTCAAGAAGGGAGAAGCACTTAGGCGGCGCCCGCCATTGAGTAAGTGCTCAAAAAATGGTGGCCATAGGTACCCCTGACAGACCAGGTCACTCCTGGGACATCGGAGCTGCATTCTGTTTCAAATGCGGGACCGCCATAAGGAGAATAGACAAAATAACCCAACGACCTGCCCCCTTGAACATTCTCAAATGGCCTACCTAAATTTCAGCTTAAAAAAAAAATCTTACATCCTTTAACCAAAATTGTTAATGCGGATGGGGAGCAGTTTTTACATGTCCCAAGTGAACTGCCATGTTTAAATCAAAATGCTACCTATACTGTCTATTTTGATGATATTTGTTACTGTGTTTGCTTTGGACTCTCAACTATTTCTGATTCCTTCTTTGGTCCACAGGTGAAAGAAAGAAAATTTACTTTTATGTCATAGAAAGAATACCTTCTATTCCCATTCCCTCTGGTGATTAGAAAACGCATGAAAGCGCAGAGCCTGGCTGAAAGAATTGATTAGAATTCCTTTCCATCTATTATTAATTTGTTTTTATTTATAGCTGTTATTTATCTCTTTCACTAATATATACAGTTGTGTGGGGCATAAAAAGGTGTAGACCCTATCAGAGAACTTTCCATATAATTTCAACTAATGTATAGCAATAGAAAAGTTAGATACGCCTTTTCTATTCCTTTGTGTTTTCTCTGAGAATATAGGTACCAAAGTAATAACATCTTTAAATAGATCTCATGAGAGAAAAAAATATTCACACTGTAGATTATTGTTGTTCAAAATATACCATTATATTCTTTTTTATTCAAGGATAGTTAACATACAGTTTTATATTAGTTACTGGTGCACAATATAATGATTTAACAATTCCACACATTATTCATCCAGGTGTATTCTTAATCCTCTTTACCTGTTTCACCCATCTCCCCACCCACCTCTCCTCAGCAACCACCAGTTTGTTCTCTATTGTTAAGAATCTGGGTTTTTTTTTGGCTTGTTTGTATCTTTCTGTTTTTGTTCCTCTGTTTTGTTCCTTAAATTGCACAGATGACTGAAATCATATGGTATTTGTTTTTCTTGGACTGATGTATTTTACTTAGCATTATATCCTCTAGATCCATTCATGCTTTTGCAAATGGCTTTTGAAAAAGTTCACTCTTTTTTATAGCTGAGTAATATTCCATTGTGTATGTTTATGCCACATCTTCATCCATTCATCTATGGATGGACATTTGGGTTGTTTCCATATCATGGCTATTGTAAACAATGCTGCAATAAATGGGGGGGGGCATAGATCTTTTTGAATTAGTGTCTTTGTTTTCTTTGGGTAAATACCCAGTAACTGTATTGCTGGATCATGTATGGTAGTTCTATTTTTAGTTTTTCAAGGAGCTTCCTTACTGTTTCCCACAGTGGCTGTACCAGCTTGCATTCCTACCAACAAGGCATGAGGGCTCCTTTGGCTCTACATCCTTGTCAGCGCTCATTATTTCTTATGTTTTTTATTTTAGCTATTCTGACAGGAATGAGGTGATACCTCATTGTTTTGATTTGCATTTCCCTGTTGATTAGTGATGTTGAGCATCCTATCCTGTGTCTGCTGGCCATCTGTATGGCTTCTCTGGAAAAATGTCTATGCATGTCCTCTGCCTATTTTTAATTGGATTGTTTGTTTTCTTGCTGTTAGGTTGTGTAAGTTCTTCTTTATATATCATTATATTTTTAAGTGAATAAGATAGGTAAGGCATGGGTTCTATTTGATCTACCCCATTCAGGATTCCTCATATGCTGGTAAACATTGGCTGACACTTAGTATGTACAATGGGATTTATACTTGATTTCTGGATCACTGAGAATCTGCCAGGGCACCAGATACACCAGCACTTGCTAATATGTAATTAGGACTAGCCAGCCAAGTCCAGAAAAGGTCCACAGGTTGAGCAGGACCTTGAATAGTGGGTCTCAAACTTTAGTATGCAAAACACCACTTGGGATATCTCTTGAAAGTATAGGTTCTTGGGCGTCACCCCAGAATATTTTAGTACTTCCAGAGGGGCTTTTTAAAAAGTATCATAGATAATTCTGATGTGAGTAATAGGCAGACCTTACTTTAAGAAAACCTGACCTAGAGGCATCCTGAGATAATTACATTCTTTTCTAGATCTTTCATAATTTTAAATTATTTGATCATATCTGTTCTCATCTGTATTAATCAGCTTTGGCTGCTATAACAACATACCACAGACTGGGGAGCTTAGACAGCAGAAATGTATTTTCTCACAGTTCTGGAGGCTAGAAGGTTGAGATCAAGGTATTGGCAGAGCCACACTCTCTCTGAAGGCTCTAAGGAAGTTCCTTCCCAACAGGCTTGCTTTCTCCTGAGGCCCCACCTCTCTGGCTTGTAGATAGCTGCCTACTTCCTATGTCTTAACATGGTTGTTGCTGGGTGTGCACATGTGTCTGATGTCAGTCTCTTTCTGTGTATCTTAGTCTCTTCTTATAAGGACAGTAGTCACATTGGATTAGGGTCCACCCTAATTACTCCCATTTTAACTTAATTACCTCTTTAAAGGCCCTCTCTCCAAATGCAGTTATATTCTGAGGTCCTGAGGGTTAGGGTTTCGATATATATGAGCTTTAGGGGGACACAGTTCAGTCATAACATCATCCTTCTACTGTTTACACTGCAGAATTCTGCTACTTAAGTAGCTCCTTATGGAAGGGATGTGGAAGCCCTAATTCTGATTATTTCAGCTGTTCTCCTCTTGACTGGCTCCTACCTCATTGGACTTTTCTTGAAGTTAAGCAAACAAAGCAATATACCGTATTCCAAGTGTAGATATACCCTGGTCTTTTTGTTGTCCAGGGTGAATAAAGGGGCTTAGTTTTCTGACCACAGCACATTCAGTTTCAAGCCAATTCAGTACCTACAATGGTTAAGAATCTGCATTTGAGCTGACTTCAGGGAACACTATCAGATGATGCTTTATTTATTGTATTTCAGAGTTCATTCTAGATATAAATATATATCTATATAAACTTTTTTTCCCCTGCTGCCTTTCAACCCACTTAGGTATTCTCCTGAGATTTTTTTTTTTTTTTGTAGCTTATTTCCAAAACAGCAGAGGCAGCCAGATATATAAATGCTTTGAATGACTGTAACAAGAAGTTTGAGAAAGCCAGTTCTTCTAGAGAGATCTGTAGAAATCAAGGACCTTCCTCAATAGCTTCCTGCTACCTTAAAGCTATGTTTCTCAAAACACAAACATTAAGTCAAGAATTTGAGAGCCTTCATATATATACCCCAATAGGAGAAAAGGGAGAACAGACCCCACCCTATAGCCACAGGCCTTATAGTTTCGGTTTCAAAAGTCCACATTTGGACCACAAGAAGATGGTCTCTTGAAAGAGAAATGTGACTTCTTACATTTCCAGGAATCTCCAGACACTTTAAAACAATCTAACCACAACCCTCAGAAGGTTTGATTCTACCCATCTGGTCCACGTGCATCTAACTAAGTAGGTTATAACCAGGAAGGGGCTCCCTCGTGCAGAAGAATCCCCCTGGGCTGTCTCTTTTCCTAGTAGCAATTACAAAACCATTTCACCTGCTCAGGCTGCTCTCTGCACTGGAGCTCTGGTGAACTATTTCCTGTCTAAAGGAAAGCCCCATCGACATTGTTATAAGGGCACGATGACTTGGCATAGCTCCTCCCCTTCACCAAACAGAGTTGTAAACCAGACAATAGAACCACAAGAGAATCAAATTCTGACTGATATCAGCTTTAACTTTGAATCATATGTGTGTATGTATATACACATACATATATATCATATTTTTTTCCTTTATATTAGTGTCAGTAATCATTTTATATAAAATGTATTAGGGATTATAGCCTTAATACTTTTAAGGCAAGTTGAGTCAAATCATCAAGACCTGACAGCTTGATTTCAGCCTTTTCAGCAACTTTTTATTAACAAGCTTGGCCCTAAACAATGTTATGAAGTAAAGAATTCTCTCTTCTCATCTGCACCCCTCTCCTTTTCAACTTACTTCCCTTTTCTCCTCTTAATACTAAAATGGTCCCTAGTTTCCAGAAGGCACTGAAGACCCTGCCTAAGACCCCCACACACATACACCAGACAACCCTCTAAGCTGTAACCTTCTTTCTTACCTGTCCAACATTGCATTTCCTTGGTCCAGCCCTGTCTTTCCTGCCTCATGTGGTAAACCCATCCCTGCTGAGTTCCTTGTGGCCATGTGTTCCCTCTTCCTAAAGTATGAGCACTTTATAAAGGCCCGTCCTAAAATCCCGAGTCT